CTAGAAATACGCAGATTTCTTCGATGTGTGACAAACTCTATTTTGAAGATGAAGACAGGGCAGTCTAATCACATGGTTCTGGTGATGCATGACATGGCGGAAAGTTCCTATTTTTGCGATTAATGCTATATTTTCAAAGGAGATGTTTACATTATACACTTTACTCTGTGGTTCAAAAACATGTTTATTATAAATTACTACGTTTTTCCCCTTGCAGATATCTTCCCGACATCACAAAATAACAGATGAAACCATTCAAAAGCGCAGACACACAGTCTACATTATTATTTATTTAGTTTTGTAAGGGGGAAAAGTGCTCTACAATAATAATGTCTAGTTTTGACACAAGGGTTGCTTTTTTGTTCGGTTGATGAGCTTACTATCAACAAACATTCACTGCTGTGCATATAGATGTTAACGTTACAGTTGTTTATTCCACCAAAATGCCAGCTGCAAAAAAGACAGAGATTTCATTGCAGCGAAGGCAGGGTATGTTATTTATATTTTCTTGGATTTTGTATAAGGGTGGTGATGTTTGTATCTAATTTTTATATGACACATTAACATATGTAAGCTGAGAAAATATTATATACTATTCCATCTATGCTACTGAGACATTCCAAGCATGGGATGGGTCCTCCTGGTGTGGAGTTCCTCACAGCTCCAATACACATCTCTTGTCATTTGCTTACAGTAACCATGTGCTTTTTTCCATACACAATTGATCTGCTTGTGTTCTTCCTTCATATAACTTTGTCATGTTTGGTTTCATTTGACAGTTTATGACTTCAGCTTTGTAGTGATGAAATCAACAGAGACATTGATAGATGCCACTTTATCTCCTCAACTTTGCTCTCATGGTCAGCTGGTTTTGGGGGTTGGTTTTCACTTATGTTTGACAATGCTTTGACAATGCTTTGCTCAGGTAGATGTTGATCTGGGAGAATGGCTTTTACTCTGCGTCTCCCGCACACCGGTGCGTAGCCTCATATGCTAACAAAGGCAGTTTCACTGTCTTTGTTGCTCAGCAGTGCATATGTTACAGCTAATTTCTTTATTCAGTATGTTAGTTTGTTTCATATTACCTTCTAGATATTTAAACATGTAACTTAATAAACAACTTTGCCTGCTTTAAGCTTTGAGATTCTTTCTCTTTATCAATGATAATAACAACTTTAACAATGGATTTTAACATGCCTCCTTCAACTGCTTTCTGTTTCCGACTATTGGTTCAAAATAGCAGCGTAAGCTTCAAGTCTTACAACATATAATACAAATAGCTAGGCTTGTAATCTTTATTAGTGCGTCCAACGAATTATTGCATTCAAAAAAAGTTTGGACACATGGATGTATTGAATAAATGTTAGTTTCATGCCACCTTTTCTTCCATTTTTCAGCCAGTTTTTTCTTTATGAGCAAAACCTTTTGGAAATCTATAAAGCTGTTCAGCATTTCTTAATTTGGCTGATTTAAACCGCTATAAACAACATAAAACAAAAACATTTAGATGTTCTGACAGCGATTCCTACATAGAAGAAACACTTCCTGCCCTCCGTCTGAATTGTGTGCGTCATCAATGACGTCACAGAAAAACAACCTATAGTATTTTTAGCACCTCTGCTAGAGTTTCTGAGCTAAAATGCATCTAATTCATGCCAGCCAGTCTATAACAGCAATGTTGAACCTGTGTATGTGTTTCTCTTCTTAAAAAACAAACAAAAAAAGTAGTGTAGGGAATGCTGCTATTTTTACATTTATTTTAAAGTGCTTTCAAGCACTAATAAAACAGAAGCACAATTCTCTTGCAGTTTTTTTAACACATTTGAGATGTTGCCTTTCATAGATTAAAAGTGTAACGGGATTAAAGCAGGATAGGATGGTTAAATAAAAGGGAATTCCTGGAGACATGGGAGAGTTGACAGGTGTGGGTTGTACAATAAAGATCGTTATGTCTATAGAAGTTCTTCTAAAGATATCTGTGCAAGATATAAGAGTAGTAGTATATCCACAGCATCCTTTCCAAATGTACTCTCTGGCCACTGTCCATAATGTCCTTCTACCCATCTTCATATCTTCTAATTGGTTTTATTGAGTAAGTTTATATCGACATTAATAATCTGTAATTTTCACCAATAATAACCAATAATCGATCATTTTAATGTGATTAAGACAATACTCTGATTAAAGGTCTACCATGTAAACAGCTATTTCTGATTAATTTAGTCTGATTAAGGTTATAATCGAACTAAACAGAAATCGAATTAAAACATGTGGAGTATGCAGACTTTAGTCGCATTACTGAAGTGCAGTACGGATATGTAAATACCCTAATCAAACTATTACTGATGTGTCGAATTTGTGCCACATTTTGCGACAGGATAGTCTTTACAAACATGACTGTTTGACACTATTCTCTGCACCTGCCATGTTGGTGAAGGACCACAGACACCTGCATCAAGAAAGGCAGAGTTTTTTTCACCATACTGCGTGTGGCATCAAATTCCATTAAAACAGCACTCTTCCAGCAGTTCATACTCGCATCCAATATATTGTTTGTCACAGATGAATACAAGACATATTTTTGAATAAAAATGAAAGTGCCAAACTGCAATTAAAGTCAACAAATTAAAAGTGAAATACCCTACACTACATGAAACTTTGGAGGAAATGTGGATCACGTGGTGACGCAATGACGATTGAATTATGTGCTTCAACATGTAAAACAGGATCATGAAAGGAACATTCAAAAAGCAACTCATATGAACACCTTAATCATGTTAATGTCTTATTCAGATTAAGGCCAATTATTGCTGATGTCCATGTAAACATAGTCACTGTCTCCATGTGTCGTCTGGCACAGAACGGCTGTACCCATAAACATGCATGATCAGCACATGCTCACTGGAAAACCAAAGTCATTCAAATAACATGTCGACAGGAAATTTCTATGCAATATGCTTTTTCCTGTTGCCTGCAATAGCACTACTATGCTGATAAAATAACAGTTCTAGTCTTAACTCATTCACAAACTGTCAATGCAGTTTAGTATCAATGAGGATAGTTTATTGGCTTGTTTTTTTTTTAAATGATATATAGTTATTACAAAGCGTTTAGGTGCATCCAGAATTTTGGGGTTCGGCCATATCGGTGCATCCTTACTTCTAGATGAAAATTTTGTATTGGAGCGCACTCGCTTATACAGTAGATAACCTTAAGACTTGAAGGAAGATTTGTGGGTTTATAAAGGACCTTACGGCATGCGCCACAGCCAGCCTTTATGATTTATCCCCATAATTCTCCCATGTAACAGCACGCTTCATAAAGTGAAACTGAAGTTATGGCTTCAGCTGAGGATTTATTTCCATTCCCGTTTCATATGAAGTTAGAGGCATGAATGATATGGAAAAACGCCAACCCTACTGAATGATCCATAGACTGAAAGTGATGGATGGACCGGTGTTTGTTTCTCTAGGGATCACATGCTGTGAGAAGACACAAATCAAGCTAGTGAAAGGGTTTTGCGATACATTTTGCGTAGTATGTACTGTCATCTTCTGGTAAAAGCGACTCGTGTTGTGAGAGCAGAGAGAAAGTGATTGTTCAAAGAGCTTTTCATGGCCTTGAATCTCATTTTACCCTCCGTTGCTTCACCTGGATGTTTTATTTCCCTTGAGACCGCAGGAAATGCAGTGTGTGTCTAATGATGAAAAGCCACTGTAATATACACTGATACTGATGTGTTACTACATGATGCTCAATGATACAATTCGCCAGAGGGCTGATTGATTATTCCCCTTATTTTTTTTTCTAAGAACTGCAGATTTTTGCAGTGTCAGATTTCTGTTTGGTCTACCCTGCTGAAAATACCAGCTTAAACCAGCATGACTGTTCTGCTGTTCACCAGTAAATCTGCTGGAGGTGGTCGAAAAGAATCTTTCTCTTGCTGGTTTTAGGAAAGTAAATGTGACACCAGTTTATCAGCATCTCATACTGGTGACAAATGGGAAAAGCACAAAATGTGCTGGTCACCAGATGGTATTTAAAGTGGAGAAAACTTCACGAGGGAAGAATAACTTTTGAAAAGTATAGTTTTTATTATTGTGGAAACACATTTTCAAAAATTTGAAGTTTGATTAATCGAATTAATAGATTATTAATAAAATATTTGCAATCATTCATCACAATAATTGATTTAATATTCCTAATAATAACAACAACTATTTATTAGGATGAGGATGATGATAATAATAATAATTATTACTAGTTTTATTATTATTATTATTATTATTATTATTATTATTATTATTATTAAATCAATAATTGTGATTAATGTTTACAAATATTTTTTTCGAATAATCCGTTTGTTTAATTTATTTCATTATAATTTTAATGTGAATAACAATAAATATAATAATAATAATTATTATTATTATTGAATCAGTAACGTAATACAAATTGAAATCATAATACAAATATTCCATAAATCAATTTATCAAATTTATTTAATAATAATAATAATAAGTATTACTGTTATTCTTAAATCAACAATTATGATTAATGTTTACACATTTAATAATACTCTATTCCTTTGACTAATCAAACTGACCTCAAACTTTTGAAAATGTGTTTCCACAATAATAAAATCAACAATAAAAACAATAATAATTATTAATCAACAACTGACATAGCTATACTTTTCAAAAGTGACGTTTTCTTCACTTTAAATACTCTGGTCACCAGCAAAGTATTCAATTTGAATAATAATAGTTGTTATAAAATCAATGCATGTGATTTTAATGTTTACAATTTTTTTTAATAATAATCAATTTGTTCAATTTATTTGATAACTGGAATAATATTAATAATAATAATAATTACTATTATTATTATTATTACAATAATAACAATATTTACTAACAGTATTCCTAAACTGTATTATTATTATTATTACTATTATTATTGTCACATTGTGGTAAAGGTGTGTTTTATGTGCTTTACAGCAGGAGCGAGAGTTCAGGTTGGAGTCTGACCACATAGAGAGTGGCAGAGGAAGAGTCCCATTTCATCCCAACAGCCCTTTAGCATCAACCGTCTACCGTAAGTGTTCATCTCTACAAACAAATAAATAAGTTTTGTTTTCAGTCATTCATCCTTAAATTTATTTCATATACTTTCACTTTCCTAAAGCCAAATATTTTGCATTATTATGCTTTATGCCTATTTAAATTCCTCTTTTCATCATTTTTTAATTTATTATTATTATTATTATTATTATTATTATTATTATGTAGACATTGTTGTTGTTTATATTATATATTGTTGTTGTTTTTGTTGTTGTCATCATCATTATTATTATTATTATTAGTAGTAGTAGTAGTAGTAGTATTTTAACAGTTGAATATAATTACTCCTATTTATAATATATTTATTTAATATTTTTCTTATGTTGAAATTAATATTTTAGATAATTTTTATATAATCTTGTTATAATTTATTATGAATAATAACAGTAATAATAATCCAGTCATTCAGATTTTTAAGCATATATCCTAAGCATTCTTACACAAAATATTAATGGATATCCTTTAACTTTTCATCTAATTTCATGTACAGCTAAATATTTCTTATGCCTTAGTGTCCTTATTTTTCTCCTCACCATCTTACTGTTCAGTGTTTGTGTATGTACGTGTGTGTGCGGTCTTGAAATCTGAAAGGAAGAGAGTGTTTTTATCCAGAGGCCACAGAGCATGAAAGCTTTTTATAACACTCGATGCTGTGGCTGAATCACGGAAAATTGAGAGATGAATCTAATGACTTCCTTTCAGTTTGTGTTCCTCTGGGTTATTATTCAGTCTCTTCCAGCATCAGGATCCTTTTCGAAGCGTTTTGAAGCTAAATTGATATTGGCCTGTAGATCATTACTTCTTGACTCAAGGCAGGATTTATTGCTCCAACTGCTGAAACTGAGAGTTTTTTTACAGTGTCTGCAGTGAATCCTAGTGGTGAATTGGTGTATAACAAACAGAATGACTTCTCTAATACTGGTGTGTTTTTTGTGTGTGTGTGTGTATTTGATTGACAGGTGGAGAGCTGTTTGTGGGCCTGTACACTGATTATTGGGAGAATGATGCCGCTCTATATCGTTTAGGCAATCACAGCTTCATCAGGACTGAAGTGGGCGACAGACAGCAGCTGAACGGTGAGAGGAAAAACATCTTAATATATATAAACACTTGTTGTTTTGTAGATGGCCTAAATGATATATAAAATTTACAACATTGCCAAAAGGTAAGTAGGTAATTTGTAAATAAATTCTAGCCTTTATTTTTTATATCAGCCACAAAACTTCTTATGCATCGTTTCATTTACAAAAGCATAACAAAATGGGGAGACACATCTGATTTTGATTATGATGATAATTATGATTATGCTGATTATTTAATCAAATTATACAATTTAAACCAATACAATTTATCATAATTGAACTTAGTAGTACTTATTCACAATATTATTATTATTATTATTATTATTATTATTATTATTAATATATAGCAATAATAGTGGTTTTTGCTGCTGTTAGTTATATTGTTTAATCAAAATATACAAATTAAACTAATCAACTATACCGTATTTAAACTTTGATTTGCTTATTCACTATATTAATAAAAATAAGTTTATTATTTTTGTTTTTGTTGTTTTTGTAGTTACTGTTTATATTATTTAATCAAATTATACAATTTAAACAAATCAGTTATATCACAACAAAAGTATTTTGAAGTATTTTTATTATTGTTGTTGTTTTTATTATTATCATTTTTATTGATTATTATTATTATTATTATTATTATTGTTGCTGTTGGTGTTATTATCATTTTTATTGATGTTACTATTATTATTATTATGAGAATAGTTTATCTGCTCATTCTTTTCTTTCTTTTAAAAGCTAAATAGAGCTCTAACAAGTTTGGTGGAAAACTAAGTTCACATCGTCCACATTCTAAAATTTACATTATAACGGGATGTCCCGATCAGGTTTTTTTGCCCTCGAGTCAGGGTCCTTGGATCTTGAGTATCTACCGAAACCTGATTCAATACTTCTGTAGTACATAAAAAATTAATAAAGAATAGCGAAAAAAAAAAAAAACTAATCCAGGATGTTCCTTTATTTTTATTTTTTTTTAATTCACCTTATTTTAACATTCAACAACTCTGTTAATAAACCGAGCAATCATGTGAGGTAAATTCTTCACTTTTGGACTTTAGTGCAACAGAAAAAAAAAAAAATCTAATATAAAAACAAATAGTACCTCAGCTTAAAATACCAGACAGGCGATCCCAAGTGTAAATATCTCACAGTTTGCTATGGCAATGGTAAGATATTGCAATGTTGTCGTCATCAACTTTATAATACCTTCAGACCGCAGATATACTGTTTCCGTGTTCTACTTTGCCGTCATTTAACCAATAGCATCTCTGTACCAAAGTGATGTTGTGCCGCACACGTTACTGTTTCTGTGTGAAGTCAAGAAAGATGCCTAACTCTGTGCCACCGTATAACTATAGATGTGTTAAAAAATAATAAGACTATATATATAGTTTGACATATATTTTTATATACATATATTTTCCAGTCCTGATCGGGAGGTAACGTCTGATTCCGATTGAGTCTAAAACCATGTGATCGGATCTGGGCATTCCTAATTATAACTGACACATTTGTTTGTTTGTTTGTATTTTATATTTTTGTATTTTATTTTTTTTTTATTTATTTTTTTTTTTAATAGTTTGACATTTTATTAAAATAAAAGTTTTTTTTTTTATTCCTCCTTTCTTTTTTTAATCAGATTTTATTTAATTTTTTTATTATGTTTTATGTATTGTTTTAATATTTACATTGTAATATAGCAGGAATGTGATTCTTCTGATTCTACTGGGCTCGTCTTCCTTTTTTATCCTCGGCTAATCACATGTCTGAACAAGCAACTGCTTTAAAAATGTAAAAATAATAATTTAAATACATTTAAATCAAGTAAATAAAAAAAATATATAAGGCATTTTGTTGTTTAAAATCAACTCCAGCTAAAAAGTGCACTAATAAGTAGGATCTAACTTAGAGTGACAATATGAAAATTACAACTTTTAGTACAATTAAGTCTCAGACATAGTCACTACCTACAAAACGGCCGTGCATATAAATGTGCATATGGATAAAATGGAGCATTAATTCAAAAGTGAAGCACAGGTTGTCATATGTGTGTGGTTTAGGGAGGCCTGTGTTGCCCTGCTGTGAGCTGCTTTAATGCTTCCCTTTGGCTGTATATCATCTCCTGCAGTCATACAGGAGCTCTGGCCTTCAGCCCAGATGCACACGACAGAGACTGATGTTTTTAACATGCGTATCACTGAAGCCTCATCAGAGGTGCAGATCACACATCAGACCCACACCAGTGTGACTGAACGAAATCCTACTGCAATGCTGCTGCCACTGTATTATACCCTGCACAAAGCCCAATCGTTCTGAATGGATGGAACTGGAAAAACGAAATGACAAGGCTCAGACAATGCTCATTTATTGTGTTGTTACATTGGTAGTGTTCTCTAAAAACTATATTAAAATCTTAAAATGTGGTTTTTACTTTTTGGTTATTTTAAGCTAATTAATAAATGTTCTAAATGACTACATTTGCATTGTAAATTGTAAAGAAAGGTCATAAGTAGTTTACAGAGTGAAAATAAAATTAAGTTTTGCACAATTAAAATATGTATAAAGTCAAAATTGTTAGACGCCGTGTGAACTTTAATTATTTTCTTTCAAATATTGCACAAATGTTTAACAGAGTGAAGATTTTAACACATTTTTGAACCTAATAGTTTTAATAATTAATTTTTCATAGCTAATTATAATTTATTTAGCAATTGCCATGATGACAGTACTTAATATTGCAACCCAGGCTCATTCTGAAAACGCACCGCTAATACATTTTTGGAGAGCACCAAATTCGCAACTTTTTTTTTTTTTTTTTTGCACAAATATCTCCCTCAAGTGCCATTCTCACCTGCTGTTCTTGCGTAAATCCACTAGAGGCAGTTGTGGACTGATTGACTTACTGAATGACAAACCGATAGACTGACCCACCCTCTTCATTTCCTAAACCTAACCAATCTCTGCGTTTCAAGTCCATACATGGTGAGCTACTAAACATACTGGTAACAGCGGGAAAGCCATATGGAGGTCAGGGGTCAGCTGGTGGAACGCGAAAAGGATTGGCATCATACTACTCAATAGCGATTGTTTTCAAGACGAAATGCAGCCATACCTACTTCTTACTACATAATTTGCCATCTTAAGAAATGTAAATAGCGCTACGTTTTCACAATGTGCCCATGTTGTATTATTGTTGTATTATTATCTATATTGTACTAGTTATTCAAGATACTAGTATTCAGCTTAAAGTGTAATTTAAAGGCTTAAATAAGGTAAATACTGTAGGTTAACTATGCAAGTTAGGTTAATAAGGGAAGTCACTGGACAACAGTGGTTTGCATATCAAAAAAAGTGAAAACCAAAATATTATGGGAGCTAATAATAATGTCTTTATAAATGTTAAATAAATAACTTTAATTCCAGCCAAACAAAAATAAATAAACCTTTCTCCAGAAAAAGATGGATGTAAAAGGAATATCATGTCATTTCTTCATTAAACATCACTCATTGAATATTGCATTTGCCTTTTACTGTATATATGGTCGGATACAAGTGGCCGAAATGAGTTTCCTTCGCAGCGTGGCAGAGCACACCCTTATAGATAGGGTGAGGAGCTCTGTCACCCGGGAGAAGCTCGAAGTAGAGCCGCTGGTCCTCCACATTGAGAGAAGTCAGCTGAGGTGGGTCGGGCATTTGTTTCGCAAGCCTTCTGGTCGCCTACCTAGGGAGGTGTTCCAGGCATGTCCCACCGGGCGGAGGCCTGGGGCAAGATCCAGGTCACGCTTTAGGGACTATAGCAGCGTCTCAAATGGCACACTATGCACTCATGCACTAAGTGCTTCTCTACTTACACACTCAACAGCATAGTACAAGTACTGTCGTCCCAAATGGCACACTAATGTTTTTTTACTAAGCAGAAATTCAAGCCGTTTCCCTGATGACATTTGACGGTTGCCAAATTAGTTAAATAAATGACCAAACTACCAAATAATACCTGCCATGAGTATAAACGCATTCACCATCGGGAGGCGCTATTATCACTCTCATAGGAGAATTTTGCTTTCACCGTCCAAAACAAATAAAGTGTGGGGTTCTCTCCTAAGACTGCTGCCCCCGTGACCCATACCCTGAAAAGCAGATGAATGAATGAATGAATGAATGAATGAATGAATGAATGAATGAATGAATTTCAGATGCACACAGAGCAAATGAGGCAACACGGTGGCTCAGTGGTTAGCACTGTCGCCTCACAGCAAGAAGGTTGCTAGGTCATGTCCTGGCTGGGTCAGTTGGCATTTCTGTGAAGAGTTTGCATGTTTCTTACCATGTTGGCGTGGTTTTCCTCTGGGATCTCCTGTTCCCCCCCCCACAGTCCAAAGACTTGAGGTATACGTGAATTGAATAAACTAAATTGGCCTTAGTGTATGGTGTGAATGAGTGTGTATGGTTGTTTCCCAGTACTGGGTTGCAGCTGGAAGGTCATCCGCTGTGTAAAACATATGCTAGATAAGTTGGTTGTTTATTCTGCTATGGCGACCCCTGTTGAATAAAGGGACTAAGCTGAAAAAAAAAAAGAATGAATGTTTATAGCTTATACATATGTAAATAATATACATGTGCTTGTTAACCTTATATTTGAAAAAGTCATTCTTAAACTATGCCAAAACAATAACTAAATCCTGCTTTATGAACTGGATATACAATAAACTGCTACACTGTAACCATGTTAGTCCAAACTGTATACTGATTCATAAACTGTTTTTGCCCATCATGCAAAATGTGTGTGTGTTTCCAGTAAGATGTGGAGTCTATGCTAATAATACAGTGTTGTCTCGCACTCGTCACGTGTGATTCAGGCTCCTGCTGTGATGCATTAATCATTCAGAGAGAGCGAAGAGCAAGGAGTATGACACGTACCATCAATCTCTGTGAGACCCATTCACATCCATTCCGACATAATAAAACACGGTCAAATACCATCACATCCTGAGGTCATCAGCTCGATAGCACACAAGTGCGTAATGCGGGGCAGAGAGCGCGACTCCATGGGGACTTGTACATTTTCTGTGCGTATTCGACAGTGTGAGGTGGAGGTCTGCGTGTTGTGAATGGTGTTAACTGCTGTTAAGTGTTATCGCTTCAGACTCACGGGGTGCTGAAGATTTAATCCCACTCACACTCGCTGCACTGCGGCCTTCAACATGCAGAGCACACAACTTAAGGGGATAAGGGATTTGTTTGTGTTAGACTATATTGGGAATATGTATTTTGTGCATAAAATGTTAATTATAGAGTTGCAATCAGAATTATTAAACCCCCTGAATGATTAGCCCTCTTGTTTATTTTTTTCCCCCAATTTCTGTTTAACGAAGAAAAGATTTTTTTTAACACATTTCTAAACATAATAGTTTTAATAACTCATTTCTTAATAGCTGATTTATTTTATCTTTGCCATGATGACAGTAAATAATATTTGACTAGATATTTTCAAGACACTTTTATACAGCTTTACGTGACTTTTAAAGGCTTAACTAGGTTAACTAGTCAGGTTAGCGTAATTAGGCAAGTTATTGTATAACAATGTTCTGTAGATTATTGAGAAAAAAAAATGTAGCTTAAAGGGGCTAATAATTTTGACCTTAAAGTTACTTAAAAAAAATTAAAAGCTGCTTTTATTCTTGCCGAAATAAAACAAATAAGACTTTCTCCTGAAGAAAAAATATTATCAGACATATTGTCAAAATTGTTTTGTTCTGTTAAACATCATTTTAGAAATATTTTAAAAATAAAAAAAAATAAAAGGGGTTTAATAATTCTGATTGCAACTTTAGTTCATGTTGCTTTGATTTTAATAGTAGTTATTATATAATATTAAAAATGTTGTCTGCACCAGTGGTGTAGTAGTTAGTGCGTCGACACATGCACTCCGGTGCTCGCGGCGACCCAAGTTTGATTCCCGCCTCGTGGTCCTGTGCCTGTGTGTATTGAAAATGTTTAACTAAACATCTGCTAAATATATTACTAATGCAAAGTTTGGAAAAGAATATAAAACAAAAGAAAGGTGATTCAACACATTGCTCACATATTGGGGTGGGTGGGTATACGTAGATCGCTAGGCGATCATGAACCGAAACCATCAAGCTGCTGCTGTTGTATTTATAGAGAGAGAAAAAAAAAAACTGCAGTGATTCTCTGAAATTGTTAGCCTACTGAAATGTGTATATTCCATACAGAATATGAAGCTGATTGGTCCCTTCTTGTCATTAGACTCGCGGTGCATTTGCAGCATTCTGAAGATGTTTTCAGCTGGGTGTGCCTGGAAGACCCAACATGTGTGCACAAGCCAAGCACCTTCTAAATATTTGAATGGTTGCCGTCATTTGCGATCTCCAGCTGTTGATCTTCTTGCACAGACATGATGGATTCACCCGATTTTTTTGACAATAGGGTTGCAGATCTATACCTTTGGCTTCATTGGGCCTTATACCCCTTCACAAAGAAACTTTAGAAAGACGTCTGTTTCTCGCTCAGAATAAATAAAACTGAAATAATTTTTGATTTCTTCTGCGGCCTGGTACCAGTTGGGTCCATGGCCTGGGGGTTGGGGACCACTTGTTTACAGCATGAAATAAGTACATTTTAACAGTTTTTTAATACTTAGAGTAATCATAAATCCAGAGAAACTGATAATTATTTTATTTGTTTTGTTCATTCAAACATTAATTGATTTATTCAATTGATTTCATAATTATTTAGTTTTTATTTTATTAATTTCTAGTAAGATAGTTTAAAATAATATTACAACTTAATCATATCAAACAGATGTAGTCTTGGTGAACGTAGGAAACAGTCTTCTTTGTAATTCTGACCATATGTCTTGTGTTTGTGTTTTTCTTTCCCCAGAGCCCAAGTTTGTGGGTTCAGCGGTGATCCCTGACAATGACGACCCTGCTGACGATAAGGTTTACTACTTCTTCACAGAGCGAGTGGCCGATGTTGAGGGAGGAAATAAAGCTGTTTACACCAGAGTGGCCAGAGTCTGTGCGGTATGGAACACACATCAGAAAAACTTTAAGTAAAACTAGCTTTGTTCTGCATACATTCAGCTGTAGTACAGTATGTAACAGAACATTCCTCACTATCTTCAGTAGCATTAATCTAAATCTAAGTGAAAAAGGACTAAGTGAGCACACATGATAAATTAAGGTTTTATGAAGCCAAACGTTCAATCTATGCAAGAAACTGAAGTATTTAGAATATTTTTATAATTTTACCTTCAGCCTGAAAACAATTTCATCAACACTGGAAAACCAAAAAATCTTAATTGAGCATGTTAAACAATACACCAATAACTAAAATAATCAGCTTTTTTAAAATAACATTTTTGCCACAGTTTACATGGCAGCAATAACCCACTAATGCAAAAAACAGTTTACAAAAATCACTTTTATATGCGAACACATCTTTGGGTCAGAAATGTGTTCGAGTTTGCGGTATAGTTTCTCCTCCTCTACTGTAAAGCTGTTGTTAAGATGCTCTTAAAAACAGTAAAGATGTGTTCCTCTCAGATCTCACACATGCATACTCAATAATCAGACAAAAGCAAGTTAATGCATTTACATGCTTAAGCCGTTTATGATGGGAATGCACTGAATTTTTGGTCACTAAAAAAATTATTGACTGAAAATAATCTTGTCTGTTTTCATCTAAAAGAAAAAAAAAACAGACAAAAATATGAGCCAAAAAAGGCAATGCTATGCCAAACTGCCCCTCATTGTTTACAATGCTGGTTTTACTCTCCCTCCAGCCACAATCACTGTGGGATGTGAAGCAGCTTTTACATCAGATGCAGAAAGCGGTGCTTTATGAAACCCATTTATTTCAATGGCTTACACTGCAGTTTGTTGCTTCACTGACCAAATCCCAAGAGCAGTGGAGCATACCGTCAACTATCTCGCATTATGGTCAATTAACAAAATAGAACAATGTTCTACTATGTGGATATTTAGCTTATGTACATGCACTTAGTTGTGTATGAACAACATGCTTACCAGAAAAGCAAAGTCTGCTTAAATAAGTCCGATGAGACATTTTATGTAGTATACTTGTTCCTGCTGCTTACAGTAATGCCACTGTGCTGTCATGCCATTGCTGATAAAATGATGCCTCTCAACTTGTTCAGTCAATAAAATGTTTTTATTTTATTGACTTGTGTTAATTTTTAAATCGGTTGATCTTGATCTATTGTTTTAAATAAAACAAATCTCATAAAAGTATTATCTATTACTTATTAAAATAATAAATTATTATTACAAAGCAGTTTTGGATTCAACAGGTTTCGGCCCAGAATTTAAACTTCAGTGCATACCTAGCATATGACCCCACTCCAGATAAAGAAAATGGCTTAATGTGTTTAGCTCGTTATCTACTATCAATTAACATCGAAGGCAGGGAAATATAAAAGATACAACAAAATATAAGCAACCTTCTTTAGTCAAGCATTATGATATAAATGTTTTAAAATATATATGGATTTAGTCAGAATATAAAACCTTTTAAGAATAGCTGTCAATACAGATGACACCATCATGATGCAAGTTTAGAGCAAACGTTATTAAACAGCAGGAGATGTTTCTGATCAATCACATTTGTCTATGTAGTTTCTGCAAAAGAGCACCACCCACAGGTGAGGTGAGCTTACGTGCCTTTTCATCTCTTTCCCTCTGTCAGAATGACCAGGGTGGTCAGAGGATGCTGGTAAACAGATGGAGCTCTTTCCTGAAGACACGTTTGATCTGCTCAGTGGCAGGACCCAACGGCATTGACACACACTTTGATGAGCTCGGTAGGGGAGCTTCACTCTTTCTGTCTGCCTCTCTGGTGGCCTTTTTTTCATGCCTGTCTTACACCAAGGAAGTATTTCACATAGAGCCACTAATTGTGCTTATGGAAGATATGAGATGAAGCCTAATATGTTTACCTCACGTCAGCGAAAACTTATACTGTGCAACAAAGAATACTGGCGTGGCAGAACTAGAACAAACTAAAGTTGTTGTTTTTATCGTAAGCATATGACAGTAAGATTCGTAAATTAAATTTTGCATGTTTACCTAATGTTCTCTTTTTGCTTGAGTGTGCAATGTGTTTATTTTAAAAGCGAATCCTAAGCTAGACCTGCCTAAAAACATTGATTTAAGTCTAGATATTTTTACTACATATGTCACAGTTTGAAATAATAGCATAATGTCTCCCAGAGGCATAAATAAAGGGAAAAAGCAATGCTTTTGTGATTTGAAATGTAGTTAGGTTGTTGTAGATACGATGGTTGTTTCACAAAAGGGAAATGAAACATAAAACAATTGGCTCAAAGGGATATTTATCACATGAATTGAAATTTACTCGCTCACAAGTGGTTTTGAATTATCAGTTTCTTCTGTTTAATGCAGTAATACAACATATTATGAGGAATGTTGGAAAAAAAATGTCTATTGACAGATAGTCAATGGCTGTTTTTTTCCCTATATACCAGGGGTGGCCAACCCTGTTCCTGGAGAGCCACCTTCCTGCAGATTTCAGTTGCTACCCATATCAAACACACCTGAACCAATTAATTAGGACCTGAACACCACGTGATAATTACAGGCAGGTGTGTTTGATATGGGTTGCTACTGAAATCTGCAGGAAGGTGGCTCTCCAGGAGCAGGGTTGGCCACCCCTGCTATATAATTTTCCACTATATGTATGTCTTCCTTTATATATTAGTTTACTAACAGTATATTGACCTTTTTTTTTAAACTCTGAAGTGCACCTGATTTTGCGATTGTTTTAGAACGTCTGATTCAGACACCTATGGGAGAAATGACTAGCAAAAATAAAAGGCAGAAAACAGTCTAACCGCTTGCTTCACAAATAAGTGTGTTCGACTATACATGCAAAGGAGGATAATATAAGGTCAGTTTTCAACATGAAGCAGCAGAATGAGTTATTTTTAACGTCTAAAAGTAAAAATCTTGAGCCAAAAAGATTCCAATTGCTGTGCCTGCTTCCATGTCAAGAATAAGGTCAATAATTTACAGCATTCTGTTCAATTTTACTAATCACAGTATACAACTAAAATACTAAATATATGAATTATGTTTATTTATTTGACAAGAAAATATCATATTACTTAAATTTGACACACTGATAACCATACTGATGTAAAATTCAATTGTGCAAACTAATAAAAATAACTAAAAGCATTAAGGTTGCACAATATATAGAAAAATTATTGTTATTGCAATAATGTTATATGCAATATATGTATCGAAGAGAAGTGGGATATATTTAATTTATTAAACTATTTGTGTTTAACCTGCATTAGTATTTTAACCAACATTGACCAATCAGATAGGGGCCTTGCTTGCTTGCTTTATTGACTTTATACCTGCCTTCCCAGTAGGCGCTGATATGCTATTGGCTAGACAGTCCAAAGGCTGGCCTAAGTGCTTCAGAGCAGCGAGCTTAAAATAAATAGTTTTTTAAAGTCTAAATGTTTGCACCTTAACATTGGTTTAGCCTAAATTAGATTTAATTGAATCGGAAACATATATTTATTTTGTCTTTATTTTAGTATGATCATTTTATAATTGAATTATAAAAAAAAGCTTTTTTTCTAGGGAAATTTTAGATTATAAGAAATATCATTATTGGGTAATTCTTCAACTACGGGCACTTTTATGTCCTTTGATCATATTCTACCTTTCTATTATATATTTTTCATATTATTCAACCTCCTTTTAGGTGTCAAAATCATTGTTTTCACCTTGTTGCACACCCAGAGTTTAAAACTTCAACAATGAAAATAACATTTTAAAATATTTATCTGGTTTCTATTAATATATCTTAATTAAGCACTTGTGAAATAATTTAAATATTTTCTATAGCTATTAATGTGAGACTATTATCAATATTATTTTTTATACAAAATATAGCTGTCGCTTTAAAAAGTTTGTGTGAAAGATTATTTAGGTGGTTTCTATGAAAATTAATAGTGCCATCTGAGAGCATGTTCAAGATGGAGGGAATTAAATTTTTTTATCAACAACACTTGAAGAAAAATTCACGGTAAATATTAATTGATAAGTAAATACATGTATTCTACGTCATGTTGTACCTTCAAAGATGTTTTTAAAAACCAAGCAAAATTAAGGTAAATAAGAGTGTTTTGTATACATGAAAGGCTATTATTGATTCAAAGCTAATCGGTGAAGCTATTTTTACAATAAACGGTTGAAATGTCATTGTTATCAGCACACACATTTTTAAAAAATATTTAAAAAGTTCTCGTCACACATTAAAAGTGTATTTACAACGTATAAGTTCATGCTCTATTTAATATACAAATTTAGTTTATTTATTTTCTAAAGCTCTTAACCAAATTAATATTAAATTTTAGAGTGTGACAGGTGTACAATTCACCGTACAACTAATTTATTTAATTGGCAAATGTATAATTATTATATATTGTGGAAAGATTGGTTAAACTAGATACAAAAATGATCTTAGACCATGTTTGACTGTCATAATTTATTTCATTTTGAAATAAAAGCTGTATATTAAGGGTGTGCTGGAATTGACATTTGTATGATGGAATTTTTTTTTCTCTTCTTATCCAAGTTTGTCCTCTTACGGATCTTAAAACTAGACAAATTATTTAAACTTGTTACGTTTAAATGAGTTTACTTTTAAAAAAGTTTAAATTACGGTTAAACTGTTACGTTAATTTTAAACTAGTTTTTTTACTCAACTTCACAAGGATAAAAGTATCACGGATCAGGAAGGATGAGGGAGCGAGGACCCAATTGCAGACAAAATTATTTGTTAAAATCAAACAGGAAGGGAAAAACAAACTACCCCGAGGGGGAAAACATGAATAAAAGGTAAAAAGAAACTCTACTGTGCTGGCAGGACAAAGCAGGGCTGGACACAATAAGACATAAAGTAACACACAAACAGATGAACACAATTAATAATAATGGGTTAACGAGGAGAGTGGGACCAGACAATAGACGGGCGAGCACATGACACAAAGAGACAACACAAGCCATGCGCTCACATAAAACAAGGCAAGAACACGCAGCCAATGAACTCATTAACCGCGTGTTCATGACAACACAAGCATGCGGTGCATGTAAACGCGCACCACGTGCTAAACAACGCCAACAGAAGACTGAACGCAAGACACGAGTACACAATGAATAAAAAAAAACTTACTGTGCACTCAAACACACAGCGTGCATGTTTCATCCCAGGGCAAACGAAACCAACAAGACTGAGACGCTGGGAAAGAAACATCACGCTGCAGACAGACGAACGTAAAGACCCGGACAGGAGCACGCACCTGCAAACATGCAAAGACCTCACGCGCCCGCGTCAAGCACAGTCCATGCGCATTCACAAATGGCGCTCATACAGAGACACAGACACACGACAAAACAAGTGCTCGACCCAAGAAAACTCGAGCCAAGCACTACAGGACTAAACAGAGTTAGTGTCCGGACTCTGCCACCAAAACAAGAATTTACAAGACCAGAGTGGCAGAACCCTGACAAAAAGTGCCCGTAGTTGAAGAATGACCCTATTGCAGTATTTAAGAAATACCATATACATACTTAAAAACAAACAAAAAAAACATAACAATGTTGCATATTTTTCCAGTAGTGTGCAATAAACTATATAGCCTAGCTCTTGCATTGGTGATATACTGAGGACTGGAGGTCACTGTCATGCTCTCAGCAGTATCTGTAAAGCACTGAAGGATAAATCAAGAGGCCTGCTTGACCAAAATAGCCACAATGGCAAAGGAAGAAGAAAAACTGCAGTTTTAGCTTCAGTGATGATTCATTTCTTCCAGCACAGTGATTTTATTCATCAGATCCCTCAGAGCAAGACTGCTGATGAATCAGTTTTTTTCATTTCACATTTTGCCTTCCACTGTAGAGATTTCATCACGTATTCATCCATACATCTGTCCATCCAGACCATTTTGCAATAGATCTCCATGTCTTCGCAGTAGTTATCACAGTGTGTATAAGACTGTGGTGTGATCTGAAAATCTAGATGTGTTTCATCTTTACTGAACTTTGTAGTCTTGTGAAGGATCTCTTTGAGGGTTGTTTGACTTTCAGATGAAAGCTCATTCATTTCTACATCAATATTCGCTTAAGCAACCAATTTGTCCACAAGATTATTGGAGATAAAGATTATAAAGATGAGTGCAAAATGTTTGTACTTTAACTGATTCTCATTTGAAAACATTTAAAAATGAGCCCATTGGTTAGGTTTGTCCATATCTTACCCAAATTTGACAGGAAACAACCCAGCATTTTTAGTGTGTAAAAGATACACTGATTGTATTGATTAAAAATATTGCAAATATGTTGCCAAATAATAATTAAATTCATTTTAAATCTCAAGAGGCACTTCAATTAAAATATTTAGTTATTAAGCTCTTCCGTAATGATACACAATATTAAGGATCAAGATTATTATTTTTTTGTAATTGTTTAATTTAATTTTTATTTATTTAAATTTATTTTTTTTGTATTTAATTTTTCATTTAATTGTATTATTTATTTATTTATTTTTAAATTAAATAAAAAAATATATAAATTTATTTATTATTGTATTTTTATTTTTTATTTTAATTAAATGTTTTATTTAATTTAACTTTACTTTCAACTTTTTTGGTCTCTGTCATGTAAAATATTAAAGATATTGCAAATATATTGCCAAATGATACTTTTTATTATACTTTATATTAATACTTTAAATATTAATTTTAAATCACTTCAATTTAATTATTTACTTATTGTTGCTCTTCCATAATGTTACACAATATTAGGGATTAAGATTATTTTTTATATTTTATTATTTTAATTTAATTTATTTTTAAATTAAATTTTATTTCATTTTATTTTAATTTAAATTTTAATTTGTATAATTTTATTTTATTTTCAACTTTTTTATTTTTTAATTTTTTTTTTTTTTGTCTCTGTTGCGTTTCAGAGGATGTGTTTGTACTACGGAAAAAAGATGAGAAAAATCCAGAGATCTTTGGTCTGTTCAGCACCACCAGGTGAGGTCATTCAACAGAAAAAAATATATATATTATTCCCACAGTTAAGATCAAAATCACTGACAGCACTCTAGATGCTCAAATCCATCTTCCTTTTCCCCCAGTGCTGTGTTTAAAGGATATGCAGTGTGCATGTATAATATGGATGACATCCGTGCTGCATTTAATGGGCCTTTTGCACACCGGGAACGGACCGACCATCACTGGAAAGTGTACGACGGCAAAGTCCCATACCCTCGACCCGGATCGGTGAGTGATATTTCCTCATATTCAATAGTATCTGGATGCAGCCTTGGTGATGCAAAATGAGACTGCATATCTCAGTGATGCAAAGTCAGACACAATGCACTCAATGGAGGTAGTGATGTCACTGTAAGGGGTGGGGTTAGGTGAGCACATAAAAAAAAGCATTGGATGCAGCTCAGATTGCACTGCACCAGGTCTGCATCCAGAGCCCTCTCCATATACTGGGTCCATCAGTCACATTGTGTCATAATCTTGTTGTTCTATCAGAATTCCCTGTGTACAAAATGTCACGTCGTGTTAGGTTTATGCCTCAAACGCCCGGTGTTATTCTGTGGCCCACTTGAGTGAATGTTGAATTTGGGATCTTATCTCTTCAGACACACAGAATCTCTCATGGCAGACAAGTCTATTTTCAGCATGACTGTGCACATCACTTTTCTCCTCGAGCACGTCATGCCAATTCTTTTACATTAATGTCTGAAACCGAGCACTTATGAAAGCACTGTGAAATTGAGGTGTTCAAATTGTCGTGGTTTGAATTATAATTGTATCTGATACGTGCTGATTAACGTCCTTCTCTCGCTCTTTATCCCCAGCCGATAAAAGAGCGAGATTGGTTTCCAATAGTTAGTAATGACCTGCAATTTACAGCCAGTTTTTTCTCTAGTGTGTTTTTGTCTCATCTCATATTGGAGAATCAGGGTTTTTTTTACATTGTTCTCATCTCAAAATTACCCATTCTTTTATTTCTGTGTGCAGTTATTCTAGGGTAAAGCATATGAAAAAAGGTGTATCTGAGAAATGACCTTTTAAAAGCCAATTTGGTGGCTTAAGACGTGCACTGCTGGATTTCTGATTAGTCTCTTGTTCTAAAAGGTTATAGCTGTGAGAAACAGGCAAGCTGTTCTCAGATCAGGAGGAACAAAATGAAACACCTGAAACCTTTTGTGCCTTGCATAGTATTTTAGCATATACACTGGAAAAAGTGATTAGTTGACTTTACTTTAAAAAAATGAGTAAACCTGTTGATTTTAAATTGATTAGTTGACTTTACTTGAACATAAAAAACACAAGCGAGTAAACATACTTTATTTATTTATTTATTTATGTTTTATGTGTTTATTTATTTTTTTATTTGTTTATTAATTTAACAGGGGATACTCATTAATCAATAGGAAAAAAGGTGTTAATAAGCAAGAGTTAGTTCCAAGGGCTAATTTTCATCAGTTGCCCCCACACATTATTACACATACAATATCATTAGAGTTACATACAAAAAACCATTAGACATTAATAACAATGTTATAAGAAAAAATAATTACACTTGATTACAAACTTGATTTTATTGCTTTACAATTAAGCAACTGAACAATGGGCATAAATATTCAAATTTAAGTTTTTTATTAAGAATTTACTAGTAAAGTCAACTTTTCACTTTTAAGGCAACTGGTTTACTCACAATTAAGTAACTACTCATTTTTTACAATATAAAAATACTAGGAGTCTGCAATATTTGCTGTCTTTGCTAATATAATAGTTATGAAATATTTGTCATCTATGCTTAAATCATAGTTGTCTATAAAAACATGTCTTGAAGCAAGAGTGATGTTTTTCTAAGTATCAGCATGTGAGCGCAGTTGCAAATGTGATATTCATATCATACGAGCAAAGTTAATACTGAGTTACATTTCAGGCACTACTTATTTGTGTATTTATTTCACTACTGCACCAATAGTTTCAAACAAATACAGAATTAATTTTTGAACTAATCATTTGAGTCAGTGATTCACTGTCACGATGTGTTTCTAAATGAAGCTTCTGTTTGAATGAATCATTTAAGCCAATTATTCGATTATCTATTCATGAATATAAATACTTTATTTATTAATGAATTCAGGAGTTCACACTTATATTGATTGACAAATGATAGCAGCATGCTGTCCCGGGAGAGAACGCTGAGCTCGGATATAATCCCACCTAGTCGATTGAGCATGTAAGGGGAGTTTGAGATCAGGTAGTTCTCGAGAGTTCCCCGTGGTAAAGGAAGAAAGGGGGAGAAGGGGTGGATGAGGGTTTCTTTGGAAAACGGAAATAGGGGAGTAGTTTAAGCTAGGCTACTTATAGTGAGTTTGGATTAATCTGATTGGCTAACTAATGATTGTAGATGAGAGACCAGCTGCAGTCAATCACATCATGTGCTCCTCTCGAAATTAGTTTATGAAACTTCACTTAGCTTTTTAGAATGAATCTTTTGAATTCATGATTTAGTGAATCACTCAATAAAACAAGCATTTGCTGCCATCTACTGCCTGTTTTAGTGCCATTTATTTTATCCATGACAGGCCTAAACCAGCCAAGATACCTGCATTAAAATACAACCAGGAAAAAAATTATTAATAAATTCATACAAAATCTATCTCGATTCATTTATTCAGTAAAAAAGGAATGCAGAAGTCTAGATTTTTTTTTCTTTTTTAAATGTATTAATATCTGTCCATGTTCAGATATTCATATTGGCTGAATCTCAAACAAATATGACCTTCATGTCTCTCGCAGTGTGCCAGTAAGATAAATGGAGGCCATTTCTCCAGCTCTAAGGAGTATTCGGATGAGGTTCTCCGATTTGCACGTTCCCATCCGCTCATGTTCCAGGCGGTGCAGCCTGTTCACAGACGACCCATCCTGCTGGACACTGAAGGAGGACGTAAACTCACCCAGCTGGCAGTGGACCGGGTGGAGGCTGAGGATGGACACTACAATGTTCTCTTCATAGGCACTGGTACTCAAAATTATTCATTCATTCATTTTCATTTTTCTTTGGCTTATCCCTTTATTCATCAGTGGTCGCCAAAGCAGAATAAACCACCAACTTATGTTTTACACAGCGGATGCTCTTCCGGCTGCAACCCAGGACTGGGAAACATCCATACACTCTCATTCACACACATACACTACAGCCAATTTAGTCTATTATGTTCACCTGTAAAGCATGTCGTTGGACTGTGGGGGAAACGGAGCACCTAGAGGAAACCCACACACACATGGGGAGATCATGCAAACTCCACACAGAAATGTCAACTGACCCAGCCGAGACTCAAACCAGTGACCTTGCTCTAAGGTGACAGTGCTAATCACTGAGCCACCTCAAAATTATTATCTATATTATGTTGTACTCCCAGATGTGTAGAGTCGTATTACACATCATTATGTCCTTTTTTTTATTTGCAAAATACAATGAATATTTTACATGCTTTGAGTTCTAGTCTAGAACCCTCTTGAAATATTTGTTCTCGACTTTGTGTGCTAGTATATTTTTAAAAAGTTGATGATTGATATATTTTAGCAAATATACACTACTGTAATTTTAAAAGGAATTTTACACTCTTATTCAGCACAGCAGTGGTGCATTTAAATAACTAAAAAGGCGAAGAAGTTATAGTATATTATTACAAAATCTTTATATTTCGTATCAATTCTTCTCTTTTGATCTTTATATTTATCCAAGAATTTTAAAATGTACCAAAAAATATTAAACAGAAAACTGTTTACAGTGTTATAAAGAATCAGTAAAATAAAATGATTTCAGAAGGATTGCGCAACACTCAAGACTGGAGTAATGATGCAAAAAAACATACTTTAATCACAGGAATACATCACAATTTAAAAGAGAAACCAGTTATTTTTAATTCTGTAATAATATTTTACATTATTACTTTTTTACTCTATTTTTGGTCAAATAAATGTTGACTTGGTGAGCATAATTGACTAAAAACAAAATAAATACATATTGTAATATGCCTATAAACACTCATTGGCCACTTTTTTAGGTACACCTTTAAGTACCGGGAAGGCAAAAGTACCATTTTGTCTTCAAAATTGCCTTAATTCTTTGTGGTATAGATTCAACAAGGTACTGGAAACATTCCTCAGAGATTTTGGTCCATATTGACATGATAGCATCACACAGTTGCTGCAGATTTGTTGACTGCACAGCCATGATGTGAATCTCCTGTTCTACCACATCCCAAAGGTGCTGTATTTCATTGACATCTGGTGACTGTGGAGGCCATTTGAGTACAGTTACTGTTACAAAGTTAATGTTGACTTTCTATCAGCTTGAACCAGTCTGGCCATTCTCCTCTGACCTCTGGCATCAACAAGGCATTTGTGTCCACAAAACTGCCACTCACTGGATATTTTCTCATTGTTGAACCATTCTCTGTAAAACCTACAGATGGTTGTGTATGAAAATCCCAGTAGATCAGCAGTTTCTAAAACACTCAGACCAGCCTGTCTGGCACCAACAACTATACCATGTTAAAACTCTCCTAAATCACTTCTCTTCCCCATTCTAATGCTCGATTTGAACTGCAGCAGATCGTCTTGACCATGTCTACATGCCTAAATTCATTGAGTTGCTAACATGTGATCGGTTAATTAGAAATTTACGATAACGAGCAATTTTTAACAGTGGTACCTAATAAAGTGGCCGGCGAGTGTTTTTGCGATAATATGGCTGATGATGATGATAATATGCGTAATATAAAATGCATATAATTATTAATTCAGATTTTCTCTCTTTGTTTTCGACACAGATAATTCTGTAGTATTAAAAATGATTACAATCTACAACAAAGAAGCCGACACAGTTGAAGAGGTTCTTCTGGAGGAACTGCAGGTTTTTAAGGTCATCTTTTTTCTCTTTGTATTGAACCATCTTATTTCAACTCGAAACAATCTTCACTCTAATCATTTTTCTCTTTCTTCTTTATTTTAGGTCCCTGTTCCCATTACTGAGATCCTGATCTCTACTAAACGAGTAAGACTTGCTCATTTACTGCTCACAGCTTCATTCTCCACCTGTAGATGGTGGAATTGAGTACATTTTTCATGCACGAGTGACCACCCATAGCAAATTCAGCATTTTTATATCCAGACAGATGCTTTGTTGTGAATTATTAATGCTGAGAATGACTACTAAATATTATGAATAAAATATGAGCATCTTTTGTTCTTCATTATTGCTGTATTATACTAAATTGTTTGTAATGAACACCAGGATGATTTTATTTACTTTATTATCATATTAAGGTGCTGGTTTGGACACAGTGGTCCTCATCTGAAAGCGGTGTGTTTGTGTATTTATAGCAACAGCTGTATGTGGGCTCGGAGTTGGGTGTAACACAGATCCGTGTGCATCAGTGTGGGCTCTATGGGTCAGCCTGTGCCGACTGCTGCCTGGCCAGAGACCCTTACTGTGCCTGGGATGGGTTCACATGTTCACGCTACTATCCTGCAGGACTTTATACTAAAAGGTACAGACAATATATGACAGATTTTATGTATTAAATATAATACTGATTATTTTAGTTGTGTTTGTACATGACTTTTCACACTACACATTGTTGCACTGGTATGCTTTACAGAACATTTACATTCATCTCATCATTTGGCATTGTTTTATCTAGAGTTACTTACAAATGATAACAATAGAAGTCAAAATAAAAGTGAGAGAGAGAGAGAGAGAGAGAGAGAGAGTTTTATTATTGTTATAGTTTAAGGTCAGATTAATTTGTTGTTGTTGTTGTCTTTTTTATTTTTTTGTGAGGAAGAAATAAAATAGGAAATAACAGAAATTGTTAATTAACACTGGAACTACCAGGATTTTTTACCTTTTAGAATGGGTATATATAAGACAGTGATTTTAAAATTAAGCTTTAAATGTCTCTCATCATATTTTGTGAAGTCATTAGGCTAAAAATACCAAAATACTCAAGTTATTGGTGTATACCTCACTTTGTTCACTGCAGTAAAATGTTGCATATTCAGTGGCATGCATATTCAAAAAAACAGGAAAATGTAGCGGATGCTGAAATGCATGCTGTCAAATGCATGACCATTATGTCTATTAAATGTAGAAATACCTAGAACTCATCTATGTTTTGAAATATACAAATGTTTAGCAAAAGTCAGTGTACAATAGTATATGGGTTTTTTTGTTTTCTAGCTTTTAATTTACAAAATGTAAATAAGGTCAAAATGACCAAAATGACTGTAGTTCTAGAGTTAATTTAAAAGTATTAATAACCACAGTGAACAGTCAGAAGAAGCTATGGCAAGGAAAAAGGTGTGTGTGTGTGTGTGTGTGTGTGTGTGTGTGTGTGTGTGTGTGTGTGTGTGTGTGTGTGTGTGTGTGTGTGTGTGTGTGTGTGTGTGTGTGTGTGTTTGTGTGTTTGTGTGTGTGTGTGTGTGTTTTGCTTAACAGAGCAAGAAAATGTTCACAGTATGTCTGATAATATTTTTTCTTCTTGAGAAAGTCTTAGTTGTTTTATTTCTGATTGAATAAACGCGAGTTAAAAAATTTTTTAAAAACATTTTAAGGTCAAAATTATTAGCCCCTTTAAGCTAGTTAAGCCTTAAAATGTCATTTTAAGCTGTATATAAGTGTCTTGAAAAATATCTAGTAAAATATTATTTTCTGTCATTATGACAAAGAAGAAATAAATCGGTTATTAAAGATGGGTTATTAAAACTAATATGTTTAAAAATGTGTTAAAAAAAATCTTCTCTCCGTTAAACGGAAATATAGGTAAAAAAATAGGTAAAAAAAAAAAGAAATATATATATATATATATTTTTTTTATAAATTCTTTTTTTTTTAAACAAATTAAGAAATAAAAATAATAAGATTATTTTGCCATGTAATTCAACAACATTGAACAATGAGTTTAAAAAGTAAAAGTTAAGAGGAAAATATAAATAATTTAATATAAATTATTAAATTTATAAGCCAATATAAATAAAAGAGTGTAATCAGAAGATCAGAATAATTGGTAACACTTTAGAATAAGCTTCCATTAGTTAATGTACAGTATTTAATAACATGGACAATACATTTATTACAGTATTGATTCATCTTTGTTAATGTTAGTTAATGGAATCAAAGTTGTTTATTGCTAGCGCATTAGCTAATGTTAACAAGCATGACTGTGGATTTTAGTATTGCTCATTATTAGTTCACTTTAGTAATTACATTAACTAACAGCTAATCATCAACTAATGAAACCTTATTGTAAAGTGTGATCGATTAATCATATACAGGCAAAAAACACTAATAATTGCGTCTTCTGTTGATTTGAAGTCTTGTAAATCTGAATGATTGGTCCGTGTAAGAAACTAAACATTTATTTACAAAATTATCTCCTTTAATTCTGACAATACATGTTTTGACCCTCAAAGTGCAAGTAGCCAATGATCTGTATTTTATGAATTACCAAGGGACACAATTTCAGCTATAACTCTTCTTTAATGTCTAGAAAAATAAAAGTAACTCCAATTTTTGTTTTATGTTTGTAAACTATCCCATTACGTAACCATGAGATTTTATTTTAGCCCCTTTCTTTAGGTTTAAAGTTTTATCGCATGAAAATATCCATGTGCTCCAAAACCTAGTTTGTTTTCCAGCCTAGTGTTTCCATTAGTGCGCTCAGTGAACGTGGAGAGTGTGTGTTTTTGTGAAAGCTCTTTTGATGTTTCACTTATCCGCAGGCTAGCATGTGTGGGTGGATGTGTGTGTGTGTGTGTGTGCGCGAGTGAGAGCGAAGCACGAGTGGGAGTGTTTCTCTAATCCCGACTCAAAGGCCTGTCAGCTGCCTCAGTGTGGTCATCAGTTTGAGCTTGTTAGCGATTGATGCTAACACTTCTCACCCATATTAATTCCCATCACATTCGGTTTTGTATGCAAAGCCAGACGAGTCATGCACAATCGGCACCAAATACCTGTCAGACTCATAACTCACAGAAATCCAGACAAAAAGCAGAGCAAGTGTGATTGAATTTCTGTCGCCTCGCTATGCTGCTACACTCGCTGGGTGGCAGGAGGATGAAATGACGATCACAGGCAGATGAACGGGTTTGTGTCTGGGTTATGTCAATGTCTCATTTCTCTCTTTTCTTCTTCTTCAGGCGCTTCAGACGGCAAGACGTTCGTCATGGCAATGCGGTTCAGCAGTGCAACGGGCTTCAGCTTAGCGGTACGTTCAGAGGCTGATCAATGGGGGATAGTTGAGTCTTAGAGGCTTTATTGGAGAAAATGAGATCTGTGAAAGTTGAGGAGGTCACAGTGCAGTTGATGAGAGTCTCTGGCGCGTTATGTGCAGATGGTGCTTTTACTTTGGCAGAAAATCATCACAGTGTATTACAATACAGTATGACAGTTCACTTTTATTATAAGCATATTATTCTTTCTTTTTCCCCCAGAGAGTTTTTAGCTTAATTTCAAACCAGATCCATTCGATCATTTTCTTAAGACAGTGCTGATGTGTCATTATCAAAAGATATTATACTATTTATAAAGCTATACAATGTATTATATAATACTTGCATCAAATTACAAAATAGGTTAAACCCTATTTGAGGTGTTTCTTTTGCAGCGTCTATGGTTTTTGCGATATGAAGTTAGGTCCATAAATATTTGGACATCGACACAATTCTAACATTTTTGGCTCCATACACTGCAGATTGTCAGCTTCAATTTGAGGGTATCTACATCTAAATCAGGTGAATGGTTTAGGAGTTACAACAGTTTGCATATGTGCCTCCCACTTGTTAAGGGTCCAAAAGTAATTGGACTGAATAATAATCATGAATCAAAATTTCCCTTTTTAATACTTGGTTGCAAATCCTTTGCAGTCAATTACAGCTTAAAGTCTGGAACGCATCACCAAACACTGAGTTTCATTCCAGGTGGTGCTCTTTCAGGCCTCTACAGCAAATGTCTTTAAATGTCCTGTCTGTTCTTGGGGCATGTTCCCTTCAGTTTTGTTTTCAGCAAGTGAAAGACAAGCTGAATCGGATTCAGGTCAGGTGATTGACTTGGCCATTGCATAGCATTCCACTTATTTCCCTTCAAAAACTTTTTGGTTATGTCTGCACTATGAAGCACTATCCAATGAGTTCTGAAGCATTTGGCTTAATATGAGCAGAAAATATTGCCTGAAACTTCAGAACTGTTGTGAAGGGTGTTTTCTTTACCAGGAAAGAATTCTTTGGTCGTCCACCAAAATTTTTTTCTGTGGTCCTCCAGAATCCAAACGCAAATAGCACACTTGAAATGAACTCTGGACCTTTTATCTGCTCATTGTAATTGGGATAATGAGGCAATAACATATACCTGGCCATGGAACAGCTTAAAAGTCAACTGTCCAATTACTTTTGGACCCTAAACAAGTGGGAGGCACATATGCAACATGTTGTAATTCCTACAGCATTCATCTGATTTGGATGCAAATACCCTCAAATTAAAGCTGACAGTCTGCAGTTAAAACATCTTGTTTGTTTCATTTTAAATTGATTGTGTTGGTGTATAGGGCCAAAAATGTTAGAATTGTATCAATGTCCAAAATTTATGGACCTAATTGTATATTGCGATACAAATACAATTTCAGCGGATGACTTAAATAGCTCCATTGCAAATGGATCTTTACATTTTATTTATTATTTAGATTTAGATTTATTTAGATTGATTGGAATACTCTTGTAGCAGAGTGTATCGAACAAATTGCAAGCATAAATAAATAAGAGAGCAAAGATAAAGGGAAAATAAGTAGTGTTTTATGGTTTTCCGAAGAGTCGAACAGTTGTCAGATATTCAGGTACATTAAGTGAATAATCAAATGTGATGTAAAATGTAAAATAACAATGTACAGTCCTCATTGTTGATCAACTGTAATCGACTATAATCTCTACTCAACATTGTGGATACTGCAATGTGACTATTGCAATACCGATGGTGAAATTATATATTGTGCAGCCTTGAATACAAACCTAACAGATCACTCAGATCTTTAGGATCATATATACTAGAAGTTCCAAGAGTTCAGTCAAAGCAGGGTGAATCGGCTTTTAGCCACTATGCCCCCCGCTGCTGGAATCAGCTTCCAGAAATGATCAGATGTGCTCCAACATTAGGCACATTCAAATCAAGACTGAAAACACATCTGTTTAGCTGTGCCTTTACTGAATGAGCACTGTGCTGCGTCCGACAAATTGCACTATCATGTTTTTCTCTTCTTCTTCATTCTTTTATATCACATTTTACCTGTTTTTATGTTTTGTTTTGTTTTTACGCATTTTTATTATTTGTTTTTATTTTTATTTTACTTGTTTCTTTTATTCTTGTTTATGTAAAGCACTTTGAATTGCCACTGTGTATGAAATGATGCTATATAAATAAACTTGCCTTGCCTTGCCTTGCCTTGCCTTAGGTGGGAAAGTAAGTGTGGCATTATTCTCTCTTTTAGCTGCTGTTACAAGTCTTTTTTTGTTTTACTTTTCCTTAAAGTTGTGAGTTTTTCTTTTGTTATTTGAGCAAATTGGAATGCAAACATAATTTCGTGTGTGTGCTCCACAATCTGTGCTGCATTTTTAGATTATGTCTAGCAAGGAGGACTTGCTGTATACATGGAAATACAATGTTAAAAATCAGAATTGTGCAGCAGGATTTGTCTCTGTTGTAGTGGTGAATAATGTCTGTGTTGGTCTGGGCTGTTGGTTATGTGGGTGTTTGCCTTCCAGAAGAACAAAGCATCTCAGAGAAGCTGGTTTACGGTGTGGAGAACAATAGTACTTTACTGGAGTGCAGACCACGATCACTGCAGGCATCTGTAACCTGGTACATTGAACATGGCCTCGACATGGAGGAGGTAAACACTCACATGCACACACACATCCACAATTCATAACCATAGACCTATGTTATTGTTAAATATAACATGTATTATGTTATGTCGTGTCATGTTACGTTATGTTACATTGTTACATTACATTATATTAAAATGCTAATAATTAAAAGCATCCCTAAAGGATATATGAAATACATATGTAAATCATATAATTGTCAAATAAAGCTGTTATGTTATGTTACGTTATGTAAGTTACCTTACCTTACCTTACATTACATTAAAATGCTAACAATTTAAAGCATCTCTAATGGATACATAAAATATATATGTAAATCATATAATTGTCATATAAAACTATTATTATATTATATTATATTATATTATATTATATTATATTATATTATATTATATTATATTATATTATATTATATTATATTATGCATACTAACCCAATGCCTAAAATAAAATACTAAACATTCAGTATTAATTAATTTTATGTTATGCATTGATATTGTTTCTTCCCCATGTCATTTACATATATATTGTGCATATATAGATGTGTGTTTATTTAATATTAATAGTACAATCATTTCAATATTTGCACATTTCTTAAACCTCTTTTCCCCAACTGTTTCTGCATTTGTGATCTCTTCATGTGGTCAAACTCAGAAACGATTTCATCACAAGCAATTGTGTGAAGCCCTGCTGAGAGACGGCTGTTAAATATAGATTAAAGCTTCATTTTACTATCCTGACCATAGGGGATGCTGGGTAATACAGCCCACTGTGCTTCTGTTCATCTTAAATAGAGAAGAGTAATGACATGGGCTGTGTCAGGTTGACCGTCTCTCTGCAGAAATGCGCTGTATTACTTTCAGGAATGACATTGTTATATTAGCAGTATGAGCTGAGGCCACTATTACGATCACTGTTCTCTCATTTGTGGTTAGGGATTAGACTCCTGAACGTTGTACATTTTGACACATTGTTCATAATTATTATTCAAATTATCTGGGTTTTTGAGAAGTCTAGTATTAAGTTACATTTACACCAGGAACGCCGGCTGTAAAGTAATTATAGCTATATTAGCTTTCACACCAACGCATGATAAAATGCTGTAGTTTTGGCACTGGATGATTTTGACATGTCTTATTATTGTATATGCAATTTGTTTTTTAAATATTGTGTTTTTTGCCAGAACCAAGATAGTATGAGTCTTAATTAACACCATATTTATGACTCGTGATATTTTATCATATCTCAACACTCCTAACTGTACATAATATATATGGCAATGAACACAAAAAACAACACCATTTGTGTGCATTGAATAGCTTTAATAAAACACTATTCATTCATTTCTATTTCATGATATTGTAACTTCGGGGAGTAACACCAACAACTGAGGAAAGATCCAATATGCAGGTTTATTCACAGTCAGGCAAGCAGTGGTCAGTACGGGTGCAAACAGGTGTGTGAGGACAATCCAGAATCGTAGTCAATATAACAAGCAAGAGGTCGAAAGGCAGGCGGCAGACAAGGATAACTGAATAAACAAGGCTAGGTTTAAAACACAGGAAAACAAGACAAGGAAAACGCGTCGTAATGCTACTTTGAGTGAGCAGGCGTGAGTGTCTGGGATAAGTGCATGTATGCATATGTAGTCCAAAAGAAGGCGGATTTGTAGTCCATGGTTATTGTAGGTGCAAACCAGCGATCTTTAGGGTAAATGATCGCTGGTAATCGTGACAGATATGGTTTAAATGGGACACAAACTTCCGTCATTTACCTTTGTACAATTGACTTTAAATGAATTTTTAGTTGCATATTTGATATATGACAAATATATGTAATGTTATATGAGGAAAAGTGTCTACTGCAAACAATAAATGGCAACTTGGTGGATGCAGTATTATTATGCAGTAGTTTTCCACAAAAAAGGGGAAAAATTTAAATTGACAATAGCGAGTATTATTGTATATTATTCTGTATGTTCTCAAAATAACAAGTAATTTTTTCATTCAATATTGTTTTTTAATAATTGAACATGCTTATTGTTAGCATATATATTAAATAACATTATTTTGTTGTATCTCAAATGACACGCTATGCACTTAAACACTTAACCATGTTGTGTGATTTTAGTAAAATTTAGTAGTTTATTCATTAACTGGAAATTCAAACAATTTTCCATTTCGACATTTCAAGGTTTCCAAATAAATTAGTGAAACAAACTACCTGTAATACAACTACATTTTTCATCAGGAGGTGGTGTAATCATCTCCATGAGACAAATTTGCTTTCACAACCCCAAATAAATGAAGGAATCCAACTTTAGCACCTGATAGTTCCTCGCCTTCCGCTACATGAGGAAAGCTGTGACTGTTAAGTGCATGAAGTGTTCAACATTCAACACTTCTTTTTATCAGTTGAATTTGTGCATCATCCAAGTATTTAATGTGCACTTATACTTTCTCTGTTTATACTACAAAATGATTTCAGTTTTAGTCTTCAGAATCCTTTATTTTGTCATTCAAAACATCAAAAATTGTAATGCAGAACGAAATTACATACCATCAGACCCAACAAGAACATTAAAAAAATCCCTACACAAGCACAATAAAATTCTAACATAATAAATAAGCTTTTATAATTTCATAAATATATAAAAATATAGTTGTATAAAATATAACCCAATTTAAAAAATCTCTGAAGAGAATAACTTTATAGTATACTTAATATAATATATTAATATAGATATAGATAATACTCAAATACCTATTTCACCATTTGTTATAATAGTTGTAATGGTCTTGTTCTGAGCCGGTGCAGCCACACCCAGCGAAGGCGCCGCCATCTCATGGTGTAGGATATCGAAATGCTATCATGGCAGTTTGTAACTTTTTATTATAGAAGTTAATTTGTATAAATTTGTTTGATCTCAATTAATATATTTAGTACAATTTGCACATCTCCCATTAAAGTTGGGTTTAGGGGTGGGATTAGTTGCCATGTCTCCTTTTAAAAATCGTATAATTTTGTATGACCTAACTTATAAATTTGTACATATTAGCTACTAGACGGACATAACATGAAATAGTTAGGTTTCCTCGTGAGTAAGTACGCAATTTAGGATTCACTATTGTCTATTTATATGGACATAGGCCATCCCAAAACACCCTAGCATCTCCCCTAGGTCCTAACGCCCCAGTATATTGATGTGGACTCTATACTTTTCAGTGATTGCCATCTTTCGAATGAGACATTAAACCGAGGTCCTGGCTTTCTGTGGTCGTTAAAAATCTAAGGATGTCCTTCGAAAAAGAGTAGGGGTTTAACCCCAGCATCCTGGCCAAATTTGCAAATCTGTCCATCATGGCCTTCTAACCATCCTCTTATCATAATTAGCTTTATCGCTGCCTCCTCTCCACCAATCAGCTGGTGTGCGATCTGGCGCTATATGGCTGCCGTTGCATTATTAATATTATTATTATTATTATCTAGAGCTGCACAATATAAAATTTTAATCATCAATATCGCATTGTCATAATTCGCAATGTTGAGTTTGTTTTAAATTGATAATTTGCATGTGTTTTTGAAACCTATAATGCATAGCAAAGCTGTCAGGCATAAGAAATTGTACCATTTATAACTTAAATAATGGTTAATGTTAGTGAAATATTTTTTTATTATTCAATTGCTGTAACTCAATACTGTTAGACACGGAAAACAATTAATAAAACACTCTTTAATTGAATTGCACTGCCCCCACAGTCACCCCAGTCAATCTAAAATTTTTTATTCTTTCCAAATATAGGAGATATTAGAGTCATCTAGTAAATTTGTATTTACATCGCAAAATATATCGCATAACAACAAAATATTGCAATGTTAAATTTTTCCAATATCGTGCAGCCCTACTAGCAATCAGCCAGAACACACTAACAGCCATACATATACACATTAGTGACCAACAACCAAACCTAAACGCACCACATTTGACAGTTTTGTCCCCCTGTTTTTCCTCTCTCAGGTGAAAAGTGATGATCGCATGATTCAGACGCCGCACGGCCTCTTACTCCTCCGAATAATGAAGTCAGATGCAGGAGTTTATGTGTGTCAGTCCACCGAGCATGGTTTCATCCAGACGCTGCTGAGAGTCACGTTAGAGGTGCTGGAGGAGGGAAAGGTGGAGGCTCTGCTGCATAAACCCGAGGAGGAGGATAGTGATCTTCCACACAGAGCAGCTCCACCATGCTCCTTTCCCAGCTTGCCTTCTACTTCATCAAAGCTCTGGTATAAAGACTTCATGCAGCTCATCGGATACAGCAACTTCCAGCGGGTGGAGCAGTACTGTGAAAAGGTGTGGTGCGTGGCGGACAGGAAGAGGAAGAAACTCAAGGGAATGACACCAAAATGGCGGTTAACAGCCGGGGGAGAGCAGCGGGCGAGAGCACGGGCACCTCGACACACACCGGGACAGTAGAGAACTAATTATTTTAGTCTATGCTCCATGCCGATGAGCTGATATAGACGTTATTGTTATTACTATTAGAAAAAGAAGAACGAGTTTCTTTCGAGTCTTACTGTCGCATCCTTGATCAGTAGTCACAGCCAGATATTTAAAGGTACACCAAGTCATTTTCTTATCGAATTTATGGATATCGATGCAAAGTGATAACATGTTCAGTGTTTCCACAAATGTGCTTTGCAGGTACAGGGAGCATGTGCTCACTGGTGCACGACTCAAAATGCTCAGAACACAGACAGCGCATGACTTAAACAACACATATGCTTAAAGAATGATCTGCTGCAGTACTTTTCTTTTAATATAGCTCATGTTAATATTACATTTTCCAAATTTAATTTCTACTATGTGTTCATATTTCACATGCACGTGCAAAAAAAGAAATGAAATTAAAACACATGAAATATAGAAACTGCGCAGTTAATTTTTTAAATAGTTTTTAAAAATCCTAACAGTAATTTGAAGGAGAACATTGACGTTTTTAAAAAGCAAAAACTGAACTGAAGTGAAATTATAAAAAATAAAGCTGCAGGAGTTCATTTGTTCGAGGTGAAATTCGTTGTATTGTATTTTTATTGAGGTATTTCATGCTTCTAATGAAATAACATTTAACCCCCTAGCAGCAAACCATCATAAAACTGATGATAAGGATGAGACGTTAGCCCCTTTCACACACACAGACCTTTCCGGAAAATTACCTGCAATTATCAGGAATGGTCTGGGTGTGTGAACGGGCCTATTTTGAAAATACCGGTAAATTCGTTACAACAATTTTCCAGAAAAGAGAAGTTGTAAGACTGCTCTGTGTGAACGCAGAAGGATAATTGCCAGAAAGAGTGCGTTCACTCTTAGAACTCGATGACGTGAGACATCAACTCCAGCCAATCAGAACATTCAAACAGTTTCACAAGCCTTTGGATATTTTTCCAGACACATTTAGCTGCTAGATGTTGGTCAGATAATGTTTCTATGTTCCTTCTTAATGCCAACTGTGGAAAAAATGATCACTAAAATGCTAATGATAAGCCATTGTTAGTATACCTTCAAGCTCTGCTTCCTCCAAGTTGCTTGATGTGTGAGCATTGCAGAACTAAAATAGATTTTAAGACGTATTTAATTAGAAAGTTGTTATTTTTAATTGTAAACTATTGCACTCTTTGAGTGTGCATTTGTCCAAAAGATTTTATTACATTTCGAACTAATCTTTGAGCAGTAGTTAACTCTTAAACTTGGTGAGTGTATTTCTGTTATTGGAATACAGTGTTTTTAACATGTAACATGGCATTTGACATAAAAAATAACATTAAAATGATTCAAAAGGAGGTAAAGTATTGCATTATAGAAAACCGAATTCTGTAAAATGGTGTAGACCAGTGTTTCTCAACCACAATTCGTGAGGACCACCAGCACTGCATGTTTTGGATGTCTCCTTTGTCTGTCACAGCCATTACAGTTCTTTCAGTCTCTGCTAATGAGCTGATGATCCTAATCAGTTTTGTTTGGTTAAGGAGACATGAAAAATGTGCAGAGCTGGGATTCCTCTAGTAATATGGTTGAGAACTCTACATTTAGGCTATTTTACATATACATAAAGCCAAACTATACATGCTGCATGCATACTTCAAACACAATAGTATTTGAATGCTTTCTCAAACAAAACCATGAAATGACTTGCTGTACCTTTAAAATAGAAGAGGAAGCAAATGTGTACCCATTTGTAATATTTGTACAGGGCTCTTATTTACTAAGGAAAAGCTTAGATTCTGCCTGACCGACTGGACAGTTACAAAAAAAGGGCTGAAAGACCCTCTCAGGATCAGACAAGTGACATTTTCTCTTGCTTTGCTCTGAACAATGACAAATGGCGGTGAGCATCTAGGTTCATGTCAACGATGTGAGATTTTCTTATGAAGATTTCACTGAATGACTTTTCCTTGTTTGAAAGTATGAACTCAGTGGAAGAAAACATCTGTATTTCTGTAAACAGCTACGTTGTTTCAAAAAGAAAACTCAATCAAAGAGTATCGATCTTAATACTGAGTATATTTATCTGCTTTGTTGTTTTTTTAAGTTATTCTACTCTTCGCAAGGTTTGGTAGTGTTTTTGTAGTTGTACTGTAGTTTGACTGGACGTGTATTACTGCATTTCAAAAGTGTATAGATTTTTGCGAATTTTTGTTTTTCTGTGCCTTTAACTCAAACAGTAAAGCATGGGACTTGCAATATCAAAGACACTGGTTCAAAACCTAGTGGAAGCAAGAACTGATAAAATGAGATGTGCAAGGCTTTGGATCGTCTTTGGATCGGCTTTGGAAGCGTCTTGTCAAATCAAAAATGTCAAATGTAAATGTAACTTATCATAATGCATTTTTAGTGATATGTTTTGGCTGCAAAGTACTAAATTAAGTTCCAAATATTGACGTCAATTGTTTAGAGCTGTATTATGATGTTAAAATTGTTAATTTTCTTAATTGTTGTTTTGGGTACTATATGTACCAGAACTTCTAAACAGGTGTACATGGTTAGCACAATATTGTTGACCTTCACCAGTGACTGACCAGCTGCTGTCGTGATTGGGAACGTCAATGGACAACTTTCTTCAGGTGTCATTGACTTCTTAGTGGTAAGGTATGAAAATCTGTACTATAACAGTTTGGGGCCAGTTTAATTGTGTTTATTTGATGAAAAAATAGAGTAAAAAAAAAAAAAAAAAAGTAAAATTGTGAAATGATTTGAAGGTTTTTTTTTTTTTTTAATTTTGACATCATGAATATAAGGGGATACTCACACTATGCTATCCGAACTGTGCCCAGGCCCATTTCCCAGATTGTTTGAGAAGTGTGAGTGCTCTGATTTGGGCTCAGGCACGGTTCAGTTGGCCAGCTTCTGTGAGTGCAAATCGCGCCTGAGCCTGAAACTGAAGACAAGACTCTTAAGGGACTGTTTCATATGGATTTATTGATCAATCTTACTGTTCAATGAACACAAACTGTAGTAGATTATTAAAGATGCAAACCCCTCACTGTACGACAGCTGCACCTTCAGCAATTCCTGTAGTACGAGGACCTATTGAATATGAATATATATATATATATATATATATATATATATATATATATATATATATATATATATGTATGTATGTATATGTTAATTTGTATAGTTTGTTGATCGTTTACTTACTCTTTGTAAATGATCTTAAAAAACTCAAGAATTGTGTTGTTTCAGTTCATTTTGAATAAGTAGTTTGAACAAGATGCAAACATAATCAGGCCTGTAGCCAGCCTGGTGAAAGAGGTGGTTCTTTTGTCGCAAAAAAAGGGAACCTTTTTGCAGTTACGCCTCATTTTCTATTTCATATTTAATTGGGAGATTTAAATACTGCATAGTGACATTTTAGACAGTATTTTTAGCTGGATTAGCTTTTTGGATGGTCATCAGTAACACACTTTTTGATATACCAAAAATCTTTCCTAATGATTTAGAGTGATGAAAAATAATACTTATTTTTTAAATATTTATTACATCTTATATCATTAGAAAAATAGAGGAATCTGTTCAAGTTTTAATTTTAAAAACTGTAGCCCGTTCACATTTATTAGGCAAATAACAAACTGCCCAGCAAATTCAACTTTACTCTGTCAGAATTTGACCATTTGAAAGAAAAAAATAATGTAGAGCTTTACAATTTTTTGTTATCCTCTCTTGTAAAAAAAAAAAAAATGTATATTTGAAAATTCATGGATAACAACAATCGGCAAAATAGTATTTAAATCAATTTTAATACAATCTGCTTTGGTCATTTAATTTAATCATTGGTCATTTAATACTGCTGATTTGGTCATTTTCTGTTTTAAGAATAAGCTCAAAGATTTGAAATAAAAGTTACTTGTAAAATGTTTCTCTGTTTGAAAACAATGCAGTAGCGAAAGATGACTTCTCTTATGTCAGACTGTAAAAAAATATATATATATTTGTTGGCATTGGCCAAAACTGATTAGCTGAGGTCACAAAGCGACAGCCAACAGAGGAATTGGCTTGGTCTTAAAGCCTTTGCATTATTTTCATTATTTATGATGGTGTAGCACTAGCAGAAAATAACACAAATGAGCTCATGTACGGGACAAATTCTGGACCATTGTCAGTGAGTGGTGGGCCTTTCGAACCACCCCAACCCCCCTGGCTAAGGGGTCTGATAATTTTTTTTAAGTGTAATATCCATCAATGTAGTCAATGCTTTACGAATAATTAATTAACTATTATTATAAAGTCTTACCAAAGATAGACCACAGGCTTAGAAGATATGCATTGTGGTTAAAACAATACTGTATTTGTTTGGTAGGCTATGATCCATACAAACCCAAAAGAAACATACTGAAAGCTATCCAGTATGAATGTCCATATATAACAGGCTTTCTCCTTGATATTAAGTGTATCCTGTTTGCCAGCTTTGCAGTTCAGGCCGAGTATTTCTGGAAGAAGCATATTGTTTTGGTCATGATGGATGGATGCAAGTTGTGTTCCTGGAGGTCTGTAACACGCAACATTAATATTCATCAGGCCTTTCTGTCTGTCTGTCTCTCCCTCGTTTTTTTCATCTCTCTGCCTTTTGCAGATGGGCCTCTTTTAATTGGCAATAAATATGGCGGTGTGCAATGAAAATAATGTGTTTGATTTGTGAGTGAGCAGAGTCGTCTGAGCGAATCGCTGATAACCAACATGCGGCGGAGCTCCTCGTGCTGATGATTCATTAGAATGAAAATTGCTTCCTCCACTTTTCTCACATTTCAAAACTTCGAACATAACATTGAGAGCCAGAACCTTGTGTGCTGGTTTCTGAATGCTGTACTGAATGTGCTGTTAAAGTCTGCCCATGCTAAAGCAGTTTAAAATATCTTGTCTCCGTTTATTTTTTTCCATGTCAAAATGAAGGCCTGTTGCAAAAAAAGAATGGAGAAACTGCGGCAATCATTAAAAGGTGCAGTTCTCTTGTTATAATCTTTATAGCTTTCTCCACATGGTAGTTTTCCTGACTGCTCATTTTTTTCTTCTTTCTAGGCAGGTTTCATTGCATAAATGTTTTGATTATTATCTATTATACAATCTTTTATTGTAATTTAGTTATATAAAGTCATAATGTTGGGTCAGGCTGCTAATAAGCCAGTCAGGACCCAACCTTAATGCTAATCCTATGAAAACAATCACCTAAATATGGGCTGCATTTTCCCACTTTACTTTAACGGGTGGTCCACAGTGTATTTTTAAGGCTTAGTTGTGTTTATAAGATGCAAAGCAATGTGTGCTCATGCTTTACTTGTAGAAAAATCACATTATTTTTTTTTATGTACTTTGATTATACACAGCTACTCTGCTAACATGAAAACGACTGTCATATTTCTTAGTTCCCACCCTCAAGAGGCTCTGATTGGTCAGTTAATATAATGTACTGGGATTCGCGGATTGGCTCCACGTCACGCCCCTATAAGCACAAGCATTAGGGGCCGATCACACCCAGCTTTTTACGTGCTGCTTATATATGCACCCTGTGCGCCTCGTATTTTAACCGCCTGATGCACCTTGCATTTTTGCCCTTGCGCGCCGTGCGCATGCAGTTGAAAAAAGTAAACTGAACATATAAAGCGCGTTACGTCACTC